TCGCCGGCAGCCAGACCAGGGCGGTGAAGACGCTCTTGTCTCCCAGCACTGTTTTTATTTCCCACTCGTGTTTCACCTGGTTCCCGCAAGGCGCGGAGGCGGCGGGAGGCTGTCGCCTGCCTGGAGCCGGCGTGTGGGAATCACTCCGGAGTCAAAACTTCCCCACGTAACTCCCGCAAATGTGGCGGGTGCCAGTCTGTGCTGGAAACCCACAGGTTTTTCAGGTCGATGTTAATGAAAGAAAGGAAAAAAAAAAAAAAAGAGAGGAAAAAAAGCCAGAAACAAACAAAAAAACTCACAAAACCAAAACCGACAGGGTAGCAGAAACGCTTCTACGCTCCGGACTCGCAACCCACGCAGTGCCATGGGGCTGCGGGGACCTTCCAAGGACCGCCACGGGGTCAGGAGATCATTGCCGTCTATGTCACTTGAAATAAGCCTCTTTAAAAAAGAAAAAAAAAGTTCCTCCTTCCCCAGAGCTGAGAGGGACCCAACGCGCAAATGCTGCAAACCGTGGGGATTTCCCCCAACAAGAGACCGCAGAAACCTTTGGGTTTCTGGGGGAGGTTAAACCTGGGTGGGTGGCATGTCCCCCAGGATTTGCGGCTCACCTATGCGTTTGAGAGGTCCTCCCGAAGTCTGCGTGAATACTTTTTATCTTATTTCATTTTATTTTAAATCGACCCAAAAGAAGAGCTCAACACTTCCAGCAGTCCGGGTGCGGATGGAGGAGGAGGAGAGGGATCTTAATCGCCGGTCAGTTCCTATCACCAGATCCCTTCCTCCTCATAACAACGGTGTTTGATCGGGAGGGGAAACTTGGAGTGTGTGTGTCATAACTGGAGCGTGTGTTCACTGCGCAGCTGATGGACCAGAACAAATCCTGCAGCTCGGGAAATGGTTTTCTTAGTATTTATGCTCAATATATCTATATTTTTATACGGGGAGCGCCCAAAAGAACGAATAAAACCACTGTGAACGGGTGAAATTAAATCCACTAGTAACTGCGGGCTTGATGAGAGAGGGGGCGATTTTCTGCATTTTTCACATTTGGCCACTTTTTTTTTTTTTTTTTTGGCCACCATTTTAATGACAGTACTTAGGACGGCGAAATTTAGAGATGCAGTAAAGCTGCTTGTCTGAATCCACTTTGAAGTAATAATGCTAGTGGGTCTGAAATCCAGATCTACGAGCTAATCTCTAGTTTTCCCTTCAAACAGAATTCAGTTACAAAGAGCTTGGAAAGATTTTGCATCTATTCAAGAGGCACAAAATCTTTAATTTTCTGAGGAGCAAAAACTCCCCAAGAAACTTCATATAGCTCCTTAGGTTTTGCTTAGCATACGTGATAAAACATTGATTGTCGCAGTTTGGTGACCCATGAAATTTGGGGGTTAGTTTTCTCTTCAGACCAGAGCATATAATTATGCAAATAAAGAGCTGTCACTGATCTAGTGAAATACTCACAAACACATGCAATCCAAAATGGAACAGAAAAGTGAAAATTTGTGGTATTATGATGGTACAATGATAAATGACATCTCCTTCCAAGTTTCTCGAGAAATACATTTTTCACACTTTGTCGAGTACGTCAACATAATGCGGGCACACACACATATACACACGCACACACACATACACACGCACACGTCCCTGCGAGATCCAGATATCCACGAATGTGTGCACAGGCGCTCACACACACACGCACACACACACGCATCCCTCAACTCCGTAAGATGTAGCTCTACCCGGGTGTACGATGGATGTACACATTCTTGGCAGGTTATTTTTGGTTTGGCTGACTCGAGAACGGTGCAATATGTGGCTCCACGCAGTTTTATAGATGTGACACTTCTCATTTGTACTTCTGAATGAAATTCCTAGAGGGGGAAACAAAACTAAAAAAAAAAACCAACAAAACCAACCAAACAAACCCCAACAATTAGTGGTGTTTCTTGGGGACAGAGGAAAAATGCGCATTCCCATGAAAAGCAGCAGCATCTTTTGACTGAGTCCGGGAGAATCACACCGCGATGACTGCAACCAGCGCATAGCCATGTGTGCGCAATGCAGAGCAGGGATTTCTTTGCCTTTTTTCTTCCCCCCATTTTTTTTTTTTTTTTTTTTGCAACAGCCCTGCTGTGTTTGGGGTCCACTGGCTGTTTTCCTGGCAGAACAATTTTTTCTGCTCCCCCTTCTTGGCGAGGAAACACTTCTCTCGTTGGTCCATCGCTCCAGCCGTGGCATTTTGGCTCCCACAGCGGTTTGCAAATCTTTTTGTGGGCAGGCGGGCCGGGAGCCTTTGGGTCATGAGGAACCGGGGGATTCTCCTGTAGATCGTATCCCAGCGTCAGT